GTGCTTTGGGAGGCCGAGGTGAGTGGATTGCCTGAGCCCGTGGGTTCAAGACCCGCCTGGGCAACTTGGCAAGACTGCATCTCAACAAAACATCAAAAACTAGCCGGGTTGGTAGCATGCGCCTGTAGTTCCAGCTACTTCGAAGACTGAGGTGGAAGGATTGCTGGAGCCCAGCAGGGCGAGGCTGCGGTGGCCAGGAGCATGTCACTGCACTCCAGTCGGGGAGACGGAGTGATACTCCAGCTCAAAAAAAAAAAAAGCAGTACATAAGCACAATATCACCCCAAGTCATGTAGTCTCTGACTCCACTGTACATTGTAAGAGAATAAAAGTAAAAAGACATATATTGTCTTAGTATTTTTAATGAAAATAGTTTTGATCCTCCAGACCACCTGAAAGGGTCTCAAGGTCCCCTAAGGGTTCCCACACTAGACTTTAAGAACCTCTCCTGTAAGGGAACAAGGATGACAACTACTATTCATGTTTAGCATAAATCAGGCATTATGTCAAGTGCTTCACTCTTGATATATCAAATCCCCACTCTGTCAACTTGGTATCATCTCCATTTTACAGATGAGAAAACAGATTAAGGGAGGCAGTATCTCTTGCTAAAAGTCACATAATTCAAATATAGATAGGTCAGATTCCAGATAGGTTCCTTCCACTCCACCAAGTAGATGCTCCAAAGCAGAAGACAGAGAGAAATATGTAGTATCCCAGGATCTCTAGAAAGCTTCATCAGTTCCCCAGGCCGCCTCACCTTTTGGGCTGCTGACGATGTTTGCACTGAGCGAGGAGGGGCTCTTGCTCAGAAGCACATCCTCTTCCCCAGCTGAGCTCTGGGCATCCACTCTCTTCACCTCTCCAGCCAGAACCCTGGGCTCGGAGAGGTCATCCCCCTGGGGTGTGAGGGGTTTACGCTGGCAGAGAGCTGGGTCTCTTGGTACCAAAAAAGCACTAGGGTCAAAATTTTCCCGAGGAAATTTAACAATTTTCTGTGATTTTATCCATCGACCATTTACAAATTGAAATCGTTTAAGGTGAATAATCTGGAGAAAAGGTAGAAAACATCTGCGTTAAAGGGTTCTGAAGGTACAAAATTTACATGAAAAACCCAGATCTAATATATATATATATGAATGTTCAGGTAGATGAACATTCAGGAATGTAAACATTAACATTTACTCTTCATTATTCTTTTAAGACCTCAAAAATATGGTTTTTTACAAAGGTCTCTATTCCATGATGTGTTTTATGTGATGGCTACATGAGTATAACAATTATCAACATTAATTAAACTGGACATTTGAAATCTAGCATTTAAGGTAATTATGCCTCAATTCAAAAGAAAGACTCGCCTCTCCTCCCCACCTACCTTGTTCCTAAGTCTGCCCTCCCTGCCCTCTTCTTCCCTTTCCCCAATTTCCATATGTGGAACTAGCTAATAAATATTACTTTTTTTTTTTGAGTTGGAGTCTCACTCTGTCACCTAGACTGGAATGCAGTAGCATGTTCCCGGTCACCGCAGCCTGCTGGGCTCCAGTGATCCTTCCTCCTCAGCTTTCCAAGTAGCTGGAACTACAGGTGCGCGCTACCATGCCCAGCTAATTTTTGATTTATTGTGGAGATGAGTTATTGCCAAGATGGGTCTTGAACCCACAGGCTCAGGCAATCCACTTGCCTAGGCCTCCGAAAGTGCTGGGATTACAGACTGAGCCACTGAGCCCAGCCAATATTACTTTCTTATGCATCAGTCCCTGGGAAGCTATTCTAGTCTAAGGAAAGAAAAACCTACATTCAGTTTCAAAGAATGGTAGGATAAAAATATAAATGCATACGTCTGGTTAAATATACTAGTACCTTACAGTTATACTGATCTTAAATAAATAGGAGGATTTGTCACCTTAAACTCTCCTGACAAGCTATAGGAGAGTCTCCTAATCCAAGGGAAAAGGCAGAGGTGAATGAAATCTAAAAAAACACATAAGCCCCAGTGCACTGGTGTGTTTGTGCACACACAACTCAACCTAGAGTGCCAGTCATGTGACAAGTGCAGCGAGCAATGGACGCTCCTGGCTTGGCTGCCCTTCTACTAAGAGCTGGCCTAAAGCTTCCTCTCCACAGAGCCATGGAGCCAGCAGCGCTTTCACCCTCTCCCAAAGTCCAAACTCACCAGGCTGTACTACTGGCAGCGCTTCTCACACTGCACTGAACTGCAGTTACTGGTCTACATGACTTCTCTCTTGCTAGGCTATAAGCTCTTTAGGAATAGGAACTATCAAACATTTGTAGAACAATTCATCTCTGTGCTCAAGATAAAAACCTTGTATAGAAAAAGTATTTTAAACACTGTGGCAGGAAGGGTCTTCTTTTCTTTTTCTTTGAGTTGGAGTATCACTCTGTTGCCTAGGCTGGAGTACAGTGGAGTACGGCCACTGCAGCCTAGACCTGCTGGGTTCAGGCGATCCTTACACCTCAATCTTCCAAGTAGCTGGAACTACAGACACGTGCTACCACACCCAGTTTATTTTTTGATTTAGTGTAGAGACAAGGTCTCACTAAGTTGCCCAGGCTGCTCTCGAACCCTGAGTTCAGGCAGTCCTTTCGCCTCAGCCTCCCAAAGTGCTGGGATTACAGGCTTGAGCCACGGCGCCGAGCCAGGGTCTTATTTTCAAAATAACAAGAACATTTGTTTGTTCATGACTTCTTTCCTTTGTGCCAGACTCCTGCTCTCTGAGAGGTAGGTAGGGCTGTGACATACCAGAATCGGGGGAAGCCTCCAGAGATCCAGCTTCTTGGTGGCCAGGCAGTGGGTCTTACACTTGGAGCAGTAGTACATCTCGTTTTCCCCGAGCTCCTCCTCACTGGTGAAAGCACGGAGACAGCTGTCCAGGTTGATGGGCTCGGCTTGTGCTCGGCGACTCTGCTCTACGCTCTCGTGCTCATCTACCACCTGCAGTAGAGCAATAGGAGAAATGGGGGTTGTGGAGGGCATCTAAAATGGTCATCTAGCTATGCATCATCCTCTCAGCCGTTCACCCACACCTTACTCTACATGAGGAAAAGGAAAGCACAACTCAGACCCGAGTCTAAGCAAATACAGCATCTATACATTTATTCACAAATATGACATCAGTAACACGCTGGACAGAATTCCTTATATGACCATAGCTTTTCTTGAAAAATTTCTGAATGCTTCAAAATGACAAAAACAGGCTGGGCATAGTGGCTTATGCCTATAATCCTAGCACTTAGGGAGGCTGAGGCAAGAGGATTACCTGAGTCCAGGAGTTCAAGACCAGCCTAAGAAACATAATAAGACTTCGTCTTAAAAAAAAAAAAAAAAAAAAACAATTAAAAACGTAGGCACAGTGGCACATGCCAGTAGTCTCAGCTATCTGGAGGCTGAGGCGGAAGGATGGCCTGAGTCCAGGAGGTTGAGGCTATGGTGAGCTGTGATCATGCCATAGTACTCCTGCTAAAGAGTGAGACTCCGACTCAAAAAAAAAAAAAAAGAAAAAAAAAAAAGAATAAACAAGGAATTGCTTGCTTATTTCACACTTTTGAAATCCCAAAATAGTTTACATGTGAGCTGGCCCTCAAGCTAGAGGTGCTGAGTTAGTCATTTACTTTTAACCAGAAAGACAGGGTATTATTAGTATGCTGCAGACTTCACAGAATTGAGGAGAAACAGTATTACTGAAATACAGTCAAATCTGAATGAAATAAAAAAGGGAGCCGGGTTCGGTGGCTCAAGCCTGTAATCCGGTGCCTTGGGAGGCTGAGGTGAGTGGATTGCCTGAGCCCGCGGGTTCGAGACCCACCTGGGCAACTTGGTGAGACCTCATCTCTACAATAAATCAAAAAATTAGCTGGGCGTGGTAGCACGCACCTGTAGTTCCAGCTACTTGGAAGGATGAGGCGGAAGGATCGCCAGAGCCCAGCAGGTCGAGGCTGCGGTGGCCAGGAGTGGCCACTGCACTCCAGTCTGGGCGACAGAGTGAGACTCCAACTCAAAAAAAAGCTGGGCTTGGTGGCTCAGCCTGTAATCCGGTGCCTTGGGAGGCTGAGGTGAGTGGATTGCCTGAGCCCGCGGGTTCGAGACCCACCTGGGCAACTTGGTGAGACCTCATCTCTACAATAAATCAAAAAATTAGCTGGGCGTGGTAGCACGCACCTGTAGTTCCAGCTACTTGGAAGGATGAGGCGGAAGGATCGCCAGAGCCCAGCAGGTCGAGGCTGCGGTGGCCAGGAGTGGCCACTGCACTCCAGTCTGGGCGACAGAGTGAGACTCCAACTCAAAAAAAAGCTGGGCTTGGTGGCTCAGCCTGTAATCCGGTGCCTTGGGAGGCTGAGGTGAGTGGATTGCCTGAGCCCGCGGGTTCGAGACCCACCTGGGCAACTTGGTGAGACCTCATCTCTACAATAAATCAAAAAATTAGCTGGGCGTGGTAGCACGCACCTGTAGTTCCAGCTACTTGGAAGGATGAGGCGGAAGGATCGCCAGAGCCCAGCAGGTCGAGGCTGCGGTGGCCAGGAGTGGCCACTGCACTCCAGTCTGGGCGACAGAGTGAGACTCCAACTCAAAAAAAAGCTGGGCTTGGTGGCTCAGCCTGTAATCCGGTGCCTTGGGAGGCTGAGGTGAGTGGATTGCCTGAGCCCGCGGGTTCGAGACCCACCTGGGCAACTTGGTGAGACCTCATCTCTACAATAAATCAAAAAATTAGCTGGGCGTGGTAGCACGCACCTGTAGTTCCAGCTACTTGGAAGGATGAGGCGGAAGGATCGCCAGAGCCCAGCAGGTCGAGGCTGCGGTGGCCAGGAGTGGCCACTGCACTCCAGTCTGGGCGACAGAGTGAGACTCCAACTCAAAAAAAAGCTGGGCTTGGTGGCTCAGCCTGTAATCCGGTGCCTTGGGAGGCTGAGGTGAGTGGATTGCCTGAGCCCGCGGGTTCGAGACCCACCTGGGCAACTTGGTGAGACCTCATCTCTACAATAAATCAAAAAATTAGCTGGGCGTGGTAGCACGCACCTGTAGTTCCAGCTACTTGGAAGGATGAGGCGGAAGGATCGCCAGAGCCCAGCAGGTCGAGGCTGCGGTGGCCAGGAGTGGCCACTGCACTCCAGTCTGGGCGACAGAGTGAGACTCCAACTCAAAAAAACCCCAAAAACAATAAAAAAGAAATAAAAAAGGGCACAGAAAAGCTCACTGTGAGAAGGCAACACATCAGAGCATCAAACTCGACAGAATACAACTCATTTGCATATTGACACCATGTAACAGTGTTATTTGGATACCATGTATATAATTATCTGCCTCCTGCCTCATGGGGCCTTTTATCTGAGAGCAACAAAAGAAAGAGCAAGCTCAAAAGAGCATGCTGCTTTGTTGAGAAGGCCACTAATCCCCACTCAAACCACAGGGTCCTGTTAACTAGCAAGCTAGGCTTTGTAGCTAGGAGAAACTAAGTGTAAGAAAGAAGAGCAAAGGAAGGGCAAGGGTGTAGAGATGTATGTTGGGGATGGTGAGGAGAGAATAAAGAAAGGACCTAGAATGCAACAGAAAAGGAAGAATGTTTCACTCTCCCATTCCTGGCTGCCACCTGACAAGCAATCATGAACCCCAGAGCTGGAACCCTTCTATTTGTCTCAATTATGTATGGGAAGATGGAGAGGCATGAGGACTATGAATGATACCATGAGACTTCACACAATAGATATTTGTGTTACAAGGCAAGAGCCCTGTCCACAAGTTCAACAATGACCGCCTCGCTTTCTGGTAAAAGTCGCATATATGTCCATCACCCCACTTATTGTTCTCTCTTCCAGAGGTGAACTAGTTATCTTTGCCTGAGCCAATTTCTCCCATATTTCCTTCCTGAAACTCATGATGGGAACACTAGGCTGCTGGATCACTCATTGGCACAGCTCAGGACATTCAGTTTAATTAATTAGTAAATTAATTTTTTAGTTGGAGTCTCACTCTGTCGCCCAGGCTGGAGTGCAGGGGCACGCTCCCGGTCACCGCAGCCTCGACCTGCTGGGCTCCGGCGATCCATCTGCCTCAGTCTTCCAAGCAGCTGGAACTACAGGTGTGCACTACCACACCCAGCTAATTTTTAAAATTTTTATTGTAGAGACGAGGACTCGCCAAATTGCCTGGGCTGGTCTCGAACCTGCAGGCTCAGGCAATCCACTTGCCTTGGCCTCCCAAAGTGCTGGGATTACAGGTTGAGCCACCAAGCCCAGCCACAGGACATTCAGTTTAGAACAAATTTTCAGGTAAGATGTTTCTCCCTACAGGAGAGGATGATCGTGTCACAAAGTTGTCAAATGTCCCTATAAACTATCCAGGTTGGGTTTGATCATGCAATTAAGCATAAGCATCCAGTCTAAATAACTCATTTGCAAAGGGGAACTTGGAGGAATATTTTTTTTTTTTTTTTTTTTTTAGAAAAGGAAATCTGGTTTGAACTTGAGCCACAGACTTCTTTTTTGAGCACAAGTTCTGTGGTAACACTAACTTTCATCATCTTTTGAGTTGGCCACTTAAGGGAAAAACTGACATGATTCAAAAGAAAACATGCTGTGTCACGGTTGTTGGAACAAGCAGAAAAAGAGGTGTAATAAATTCAGAAGTATTCTTTTCTCACAGCCAGTTAAATATTATCTCTATTATCTCTAGCAGGAATGTTTTATGGCCAACCACAAATTAAGCAAGCTAGTAAAGAATGTCGATTTTTATTGAAACAGGCTATAGAGCTAGATGAAGGCAGGAAGGAAAGAAGACTGATAAAAAACATATTTGTGGACTGACAATAATTTCTATTTATCAATAAAATTTCCTTAGATGATAGATTTCCTTTACCTCTTAGAATCTATGCTCAGATTCTCTACTATTATTTAAATTGTCTAAATTACTTACAGGTGCCCTCTTCTTTTTTTTCAAGGTAAAGATTTATCTTTAACACAAAACATAGAAGTAATGAAGTAATAGCTTTCATACATTATAAGACTATTTAAAAAAGAGAGAAAGGTCGGGCTTGGTGGCTCACATCTGTTACCCCAGCACTTTGGGAAACCAAGGTGGGAGGATTGCTTGAGCCCAGGAGTTCAAGAACAGCCTGGGCAAAACAGCAAGACCTCATGTCTACAAAAAGACCAAACAATTAGCTGGACATGGTAGTGCATGCTTGTAGTCCTAGCTACTTAAGAGGCTGAGGTGAAGGATGGCCTGAGCCTGGGAGGTCAAGGCTGGGTGATGAGTCTCCAGCCTGGGTGACAAAGTGAGACCCCAATTAAAAAAAAAAGGGAGACAGAAAGACCGACCTAGGAAGTTATCTAGTTAAATTTTCTATTGAGGAATAAGAAGTCCAAATAGGGAGCAAATACACAGAATAACAGCAACTGCCTCTTTATTTTCTTATTACCAAATACAATATTTGTGTAGAAATTTTAGAAAACAGAGAACAATGTAAAAAGACACAGAAATCTTTTATATTCTTAATACAAGGCAACTATTGTCAAAATGTTAGCAGATTTCTTCTGTCCTTTACCTAAACAGTATTTTATTTTAATACTGAAGAGATTTTTTTCCAGTATATGCTATTATTTTTATTTTTATTTTAGAAAGCAGGATTTAGCTGGGCTCGGTGGCTCAGCCCGTAATCCCGCGCCTTGGGAGGCTGAGGTGAGTGGATTGCCTGAGCCTGCGGGTTCGAGACCTGCCTGGGCAACTTGGCGAGATATTATCTCTACAATAAATCAAAAAATTAGCCAGGCATGATGGTACATGCTCCCGGCCACTGCACTCCAGTTTGGGTGACAGAGTGAGACTTCAACTCAAAATAAATAAATAAATAAATAAAAATGCTGTGATGAACATTTAACTGCAAATTGCAGAGTGATTACAGAGTATCCTATTTCCTAGAAGGGAAATCACTGGAATAAAAAAATAAAGCATGTGATCAATAATCTCAATTTTAAATCAAGGTGATCTCCTTTGTCTACATGACTTTCTCAGCACATGCAGAAACCACATGTAGGAAGAGCCCAGATTAGTCATATGGCTCCACTCCCCAGCAAAGCAGGGTATCTCAATAGCTCCTCGTTTCCATGGAATCCTAAGTGCATCACTGAAAGCAGAAATGGGTAAGATTTAACATGTCACATAGGCCCTTTTCCTGATAAGCAGGATGTCCTCCTAAATTTTTCAGATTGTGTACTGGGCTTGTTAAAAAGGGGAAATGAGGCTGGGTTTGGTGGCTCAGCCTGTAATCTCAGCGCTTTGGGAGGCCGAGGTGAGTGGATTGCCTGAGCCTGCGGGTTCGAGACCTGCCTGGGCAACTTGGTGAGACCTCATCTCTACAATAAATCAAAAGTTAGCCGAGTGTGGTAGCGCACGCCTGTAGTTCCAGCTACTCAGAAGGCTGAGGTGGAAGGATCGCTGGAGCCCAGCAGGTTGAGGCTGCGGTGGCCGGGAGCGGCCACTGCACTCCAGTCTGGGCGAGGGAGTGGGACTCCAACTCAAAAAAAAAAAAAGGGAAAAGACTTACAGAGCCAAATAATTTATCATCATTGACAGGATTTGTCTTGTCAGAATAATGTCCTGTCAGATTGTTTGCTGACAAAGATTTAGGAATCTATCCATTGCTGAAATTTTATCTCTTCAAAGGAAGTATGACTGAAACTGAATCACCTTGCTAATGAGCATGAGCTAGAACATTAACTTCTCTTCAGCTTTCTTTAACTTTTGGCCAGTAAGCTATCATTGGCAAATATCCATAAATTTATATTCATGCCTGGCTAGAAAGAGTGCCAGGAGCCTCAGGATATATGGGGGCATCTTTAGGGATACAAATAGGGAACTAAATCTAGAATTGGTAGTTTCCCCATTCCTCAACAGCATAAAAAGAAAAAAGCCAATTGCCATTACCAACTTATCCAAAGGAAATGCTTTGAGAAACAGTGAAGCAAATTTCCAACAATCAAGAGCCATAAAAATGCAAAAATCACTACAATTTTTCATGTAACTTAAGAAATTCCTTTGAATCTGTTGTTTTTACCCCCCCATCAGATTCTTAGTATCTCTACCCTTCAAACAATATTTGGTTGATTAAAACTGCCTGAGGCAAACATTTTAAAGTATGGAGTTCGAATTCCTTCCTTCCTTTTCTTCTTCTTCTTATTTTTTGAGTTGGAGTCTTACTCTGCTCAAGGCCACCTGCAGCCTTGACCTGCTGGGCTCAGGGGATCCCTCTGCCTCAGCCTTCTAAGATATCTGCCACCATGCCCAGCTATTCTTTTGATTTATTGTAGAGGTGAGGTCTCACCAACTTGCCCAGGTTGGTCTCAAACCTCTGGGCTTAGGCAATCCTCTTGCCTCTGCCTCCCAAAGTGCTGGGATTACAAGTATTAGCCACTGTGCTCAGCTAGAATTCTTTCTAAGGTAACATTTTCAAAACTTCAAAATTGCTCAGGCCAGAAAGTGGCAAAAGAAGAATGAGACTTGAGAAGAACACTAAGATGCATGCTTATGTATCCAATATTGAAACATTTCAATCCTTTATCTAATTTTTCTAATCACTATGCCTATTAAAGGTAGCAGCTACAGTCCTTGCTGGGATGCATTTGAGCCAAATAATTGTGGTTACCTAATGCTTCAACTTCAATAATATTTAACAAATGGTCAGGGAGATGTTTATGGGCATCATGGCCAGGTTATAGCTTCTTAATTATGCCCAGTTTTGTTTTAAGATTTACTTACGAGTATTTCTGAAATTTAATTCCTGCTATGGTTTGAATATGGTTTGTTTCAAAATTCATGCTGAAATTTTATCCCCAGTGTGGCGGTATTGGGAGGTGGGGCCCAGTGGAAGGTGTTTGAGATATGAGGGCGAATCCCTCATGAATGGCACGGTGCCATTCTTGCAGTAATGAGTTCTCACTCCAAGAACTTAGTTTCCAAGAGAATAGGTTGTCATAAAGTGAGGTTCCTCATCCTGTTTGGTCTTCCCTCTTGGCATGTCTGTTTCCTCTTTGCTCTTCTCTGCATCACTGAAGCCAGGGTCATACCTTTAAACCTCCCAGGCTGTAGTACAGCGAGCTAAATAATCTCTTTTCTTTATAAATTACCCAACCTCTAGAAAATGGAAAATGGAAAAATTCAGCAAACATGTCAACAAATTAAGTGCCATGAGAATGCTAATAAATGCTTTTCTGGTTATATTTCAATTGTCTAATACAGAAATGGCAAAATACAGTTAAACCGGGGGGAATTTCCCATAGAAAACTACCACTGTATGGTGGTCCTAAGTACTTACCCTTTCCTGTGACGTTTGATAGCGGAGGTGAAGGGCTGTGGGGTCCCAATCCACAGCAATGTAGGCATTTCCAATGAAAGCTCTATCTTCCCCACAATCAATTTTACAGCCTCTGCAAAATCTGAAGATGGGGAAAAATCCAGAGGAAGAAATAATTATGAATGAATCTAAGTTTTCTTTTCTTTTTTTTGAGTTGGAGTCTCACTCTGTTGCCCAGGCTGGAGTGCAGTGGCACACTCATAGCCACCCCAGCGTCGACTTGCTGGGCTCCAGAGATACTTCCGTCTCAGCGCAGAACTACAGGTGCAAGCAACCATGCCCGGCTAATTTTTTTTTAAAAATTTATTGTAGAGACGAGGTCTTGCCAAGTTGCCCGAGCTAGTCTCAAACCTGTGGACTCAGGCAATCCACTCCCTTCGGCCTCCCAAAGTGCTGGGATTACAGGCTGAGTTACCGAACCCAGTCCTAAATTTTCTTAATCAGAAATATTCTTCCTTCTTACTTTTCTACTTTCCTCTTGGGCTTCAAAATTTGTCATGGGCTTCTAACTTCAGACACTGATAAATGTAGGAAATTTATTTAGAGATAGGGTTTTACTCTGTTGCCCAGGCTTAAATTCACTGGTACAAACATAGCTACCTGCAAACTCAAAGTCTTTGTACTCAAGTGATACACCCATATCAGCTTCCCAAGGACTATAGGTGTGTGCCACTGCACCCAGCTAATATTCTTTTTTTTGTGTGGAGATGGGATCTTGCTATGTTGCCTAGACTGTCTCGAACTGCTGGCCTCAAGCAGTCTTACCTCCTAAGGCTCCCAAAGTGTGTGGATTATAGGAATAAGCCACAGCTCCCAGTCAGGAATATTTATTAATGATCATTAATATCTTAGGGAATTATGCTTATATCTTCTCAAGTCTTTGGTTTTACAAAGCACTTGATAACTATTTGTTAACACACAAGAAGATGTGAGTTTTTTTTTTTTTTTTTTGAGTTGGAGTCTCACTTAGTCGCCCAGACTGGAGTGCAGTGGCTGCTCCCGGCCACCGCAGCCTCGCCTGCTGGGCTCCGGCGATCCTTCCACCTCAGCCTTCCAAGTAGCCGGAATTACAGGCATGCGCTACCACGCCTGGCTGATTTTTTGATTTATTGTAGAGATGAGGTCTCGCTGCCCGGGAGGGTCATGAACCCGCGGGCTCAGGCAATCCACTCACCTCAGCCTCCCAAAGGCACGGGATTACAGGCTGAGCCACCGAACCTGGCTGAAGATGTGAGTTTTATGGCATTTAAATGATCAGGAATTGGTTATTTGAGATAATATAGTTCTCAAAAAATTCCAAGTTCAGTTATTTAATGCTCTGAGGTAGGACAATTTATCTGGTATAACAACACCTATCTCCTTGTTCGTAAAGTGGTATATTAAATAAATGCATATAAAAGTTTATGGAGTATGTGTGGGGAAGAGGACATGGCAGAATCATGGTTCATGTCTATTTTAGACTTAGTTTGGTAAGTCTATTACAGCTCTAAAGGTTGACTTCAAAATTGTCAGGCACTTTTCCTGCTGGAACAGCAATGACTAATCAATCTCCATGACGCTTTAAAAACCATAAACAGACTTCCAGCAAAGTCTAGTAAGTAAACTATGTTCTGCTGGGATCAGAATAGTCAAACTTACATATTTAAGGAGTAGAAATATAGAATAATAATTATTTATCAAAAGTTGTGGACTTCAGAGTTTATAAAACAAGCTAAGTCTCAAAAGCAAAATTTAACTATTGCCCTCACAAGGAAGAAATGAATGAACAATTTCCAAGTTTATTTTAAGCTTCTAATTATTCACAATTACTTCTCAAAACTGGAAATCTTACGAAAAAGGTATAATATCTGAAGCTGAAATTCTATGTTTCTTTTGCAGAAGGTCTCTTTACCTGTACCATGGGCACCAAGCACAGGAGTTCCCATCTTTCTGTACAACTCGTAGAGTGAATGGATACTGATAGCCCATACTGTCATCACTGAAACAGAAAGAAACACAAACCAAAGAGTATGAGAAGCATTTCTGGTCTCAGATCCATCTCCTTTTCATCTTCCCTTGAAGTAATCACAGGGAGGGACATCTGCTATAGCGGTAAGTTCCTGCTGACAGTTCAGTGCTGTTTATCCTAATCCATTAGCTGCAGCCCTCCCTGTACCAACCACACTCTGGCCTGCTATGCTGTATTCCCCACTTACAGAAGGGCTTGACTGCCAGATGTCTCTAAGGCAGTCCATGTGGTCTACGAAAATTTTACAAGAAAAGCTAATAATGAGATCAAATACCAATTATCCTTCAGCTCTAATTCTATCAGAGGATTTAATTCACATTAAACTAAAATAATTGGAACTTTCCATGATAAAAACACTAATAATTCACAAAAGGCTGTTTTTTTTGTTTTGTTTTGTTTTTTGAGTTAGAGACTCACTCTGTTGCCCAGACTGGAGTGCAGTGGCCACTCCCGGCCACCGCAGCCTCGACCTGCTGGGCTCCGGCGATCCTTCCGCCTCAGCCTTCCAAGTAGCTGGAACTACAGGCGCGTACTACCGAGCCCGGCTAATTTTTTATTTGTTGTAGAGATGAAGTCTCGCCAAGTTGCCCAGGCGGGTCTTGAACCCGCCGGCTCAGGCAATCCACTCACCTCAGCCTCCCAAAGGCGCGGGATTACAGGCTGAGCCACTGAGCCCGCCTAGGGCTGTATATTTAGAAGCTTTCTTTACTTAGAATCCCTGATGTAGTACATGCTAGGTACCACCTTTTTCCTGCCTTAACTACTCAAAGCTAAAAGCTACATGCCATTCTTGGAGTAACTTCTTTTAACTACTAACAATTGTGTCAAGATAGCCCTGTGAGTTAGTTTTCAACTTCTAAAAAAGTTTACTCATCCTTGTCCTATCAAGAAGTAATGAAACAATTTACACATGTAACAAAACATCAAGTTGTACACAATTATATACAATTCCTGTCAATTATAGTTCAATAAAGCTGGCAGGGGTGGAGAAAGGAGTAATGCAGGCAATATAACATAGGCGTGGCATACTTTACAGCTCATTTGGCAACTGGTAGGGTTATTATATGGGCGCCAAAGGCAATGAAACCATGATAAAGTGTCACTGTGAGGGCACAAGTGAGTGTCGTGTCTGGCACAGGAATTCCCATCTTTTGGCATAACTCATCCAGAGAATGATTATTGGTAGCTTGTACTGTCTAGTATCATGTCCAAACCAGGTCAACAGAAGTGAGAAATGAAAAGAAAGCTAAAAGGACACAACAGGTAGCACTCTCACAGAGGTGCAGTACCTCTCCTCTAAAGATTTCCTTTACCTTTTAACTCTAAGTGAATGATGCCTATCTTTTATGAGAGCCCTGCTTCCCCTGAAGACTCTTTAGTGCTGTTTATTCTCACACATCCCAGAACCTGGAGGTAATACAGATCGCCTCCTTATTCCTCTTTGCACTTCTAGATAATTTCTCTTTCTAAAAATTCCAGCTTCTTTGTAGCATATAGTATTATTATGCCACCTGTCGTTCCCTTGGAAGGTACATCTCTTCTTTATTCACTAAAAATTTTAGCACCTGCTTCACTGTTTTCTTCTCCACCACTTCTCCTGTTATTATTGTTGGTGACTCCTCCTAATATAAGTAATTCAACAACACTGGCCTTCTCTCTTCCAACAATAATTTCTCTACTTCATATAATCCAACCTCTCCAACTGTTATATTCTAGACCTTGCCAATACAAACTTTACCACCTCCAAAATATCAATTCCAAACATCCTAGTTTGCAACCACTACCTCTTATCTTTCTGGATCACTTTTATTCAAATATCCCTATTCTGACAATTATTTGACCCATTAGAAACCTCTAATCACTGCCCCCAATCCTCACTTTCCTCCTTACCCACTGTCCCTCAAAATAATAACTCTTCTGTATAGACAGGAATTTGTCCATTTAATCTAAATATTCAAATTTATTAACAAAAACACTCACAAAAGTAGAGACCTGTACAATGAACCCCCATGTAGTCATCACCCAACTACAATAATCATCAACTCCTGACCACTTTTATTTCACCCATACCCTTACTGACCCCTATTAGAGTCTATACTTTCCCATTTAAAAAAATTATGGTAAGATATACATAAAGTTTATCATTTCTACCATCTTTAAGTGTAAAATTTAGTGGCACTAAGTACATTCACAATGTTGTACAACCACCACTATAATCCATTTCCAGAACTCTTTCCATCTTCCCAAATAGAAACTCTTACCCATTAAGCAATAACTCCCCTGCTCTTCCCCACTGACACTGGTTTCTAATCTATTTTCTATCTCTATGAATTTGCCTATTCTAGATACCTCATAAAATAGAAATCATACAACATCTGTTCTTTTATGTTTGGCTTATTTTGGTGGAAACAACATTTTCAAGGTGCATCTATGTTTTATGATGTATCGAACTTCATTACTTTTTATGGTTCGATAATATTCCACTGTATGTATACACCATATTTTATCAGCAACCTGCTGCTGATGCACTTGGGTTGTTTCCACCCTTTGGCTATTGTGACCCACTAGATTCTTTTGATAAAAATCAGAGACATCAACCAGGTGCAGTGGCTCACACCTGTTATCCCAGCATTTTGGGAGGCAGAGGCGAGAGGATTACCTGAGCTCAGGGGTTCAAAACCAGCTTGAGAAACACTGCCTCGTCTCTACGAGAAATAAAAAAATCAGCCAGCCGGACTCGGTGGCTCAGTCTGTAATTCCACGCCTTGGGAGGCTGAGGTGAGTGGATTGCCTGAGCCCGTGGGTTCGTGACCCGCCTGGGCAACTTGGTGA